GAAAGTGTTATATTTAGTAACTTACAATGTTTTTATTAAATTCACATTAAATACAAAGTCGTATTAAAAAAATGTTATGGCATGACACCCATATCTGGTACTTAAAGCTGCAGTCCGTAAGATTTGCCTCTTTGTCGCCATCTCTGTTTGAATACCTGCAATTGCAGCTGTGTGCGGAATTATCTTCCTAAAGTTACGGACTGCAGCTTTAAGTAAAAAGACGTGTTTTTATGCATAGTTAATAGATTACACTATTAGGCTACTTTGCCCATCGCCCATTAGCCTATAGATCAATGTAAGAACCAATTTAATATGTCAATAATTTGGATATTATAACTGTTTGCTTAGAGTGTTGATTTGCAAGTAATGACCTAAAGTATAACTTCTGTAACTTTCTTTGAGAGGCAATTTTGATATTTCCTATGCATATGTTTCAATATTATTTCTAATGTTTCTGATGTATAATTTCGGTTCTGTTTCTTTAACGGCCACGCACGTGCTGTTAGACGAGGTTGAATAGGTGCGGGCAGGGAAATAAGGGAGAACAAGTGCAATATCATAGGATATAAGAACCAACTGGATTTTGTGTTTTGATTAAACTCGCATTTTTGTTACGGACTTTTGACTGACTTCTGTGACGAGTAAGAACCCATTTTTTCTGCCACTTTTAAATTAATCCAGTACTTTGCATCTACAATCAACTAACATTATCTATAAAGGTGCAAAATGCATTTACTTACACACTTTTGAGAATCGAGATGTTTCATGATCTAGTTGTCAATGTCAAACTGGTCTGGTCTTTATGTCAAACGGGTCTGGTCTGGTACAGAATTAAATTAGTGCTGCTGTTGGATAACGGGTCGAGTGTTCTGTTAAGTACTGCTGGTGCACGTTTACCAAACAGGACCTGTGCAGGACTTTGCTTTAAACTGCTTTGCGTCTCTCCGTCAGATAACCCCATGTGCGCGATGCGCCATTTACAGGTATTTCCCTAAACTGCCGGCGCCACACAGCTCATATATTTTTCCGCCAAGAGGTGAGAACGTAATGATTACGAAAACAATTATTTATTTTTGAAAATTATTATTTTATTTCAGTTCGTTTTTCAATAACTGTTGTTAGTTTCGTTTCGTTTTAGTTTTTTAATTATTTTGTCATTTTTATTTTATTTCAGTTTACGGAATTGTTTTTTCATCAATCGTTTTCGTCTTAGTTTTAGTTTTCGTTTACAAAAATAACCTTGGCCTGAACGCTGAGTGCAGAGCGTTGTCGTCCGAAGATGGTCCTCGGGAGGAATTCGCCGCCTTCGTGGAGTGGACTCTGGCGAGAAACGGTTCGCCACTCACCATCTGCCCCGTGGAGGATCTCGCCGGATCCACTCCAGACCCAGAGCCCAGCCAACCATCTCCCGCGGAGCACGGAGCATCAGCCTGAGCCCACCAATGACGGAGAGCCATTTCCCGCCGCGATCCGCGAGCCAGAGCGAAGCCAAGCGACTGAGCAGAGGATCGCCTCGGAAGTTGAGCCCAACCCGTCAGACCAGGTGCGAGAGCCGGCGACAGTGCCCACCACGAGGGAGCAAGCCGTGGACGGTGTGAGCATGGAGAGGAGCTCAGCCCCCTGCATCACGGCTGATGGTGAGCTGACTATGGCGGGACATAAGTGCCAAAACGAAGAGGGGAGGGATCCAGCCCCCGAATCAAGCTCAGAGCGCCCTCCAGTGCCCGCTCCTAGAAAGCGCCCTCCAGTGGCCGCTCCTCGAAAATGCCTGCCCTCCCACCCGCTCCAGCCTCCTCCACCGCTGTCGTCTGGCAGCCCCTCTGCTCGCCCTCAGCCCACCATC